TGAAAATTGTGGAGTTAAGAAAAAAACCTGATTTAAATGGGATATTCTCTGAGTCCCATTCCTATTATTGCTCTCATTATTATTAAAAGACAAAAAAACAAAACTACCTTATGACTTTCAAAATCTAAGCCGACAGGAAGCCGGGTCATGATGGAGACAGTGGTGGGCTTGGGCTCCAGAAGCAAGTCGGAGTTGTCTGACTAAAGGAAACCAAAAAAACACTACCTTATGACTTTCAAAATCTAAACCGACAGGAAGCCGGGTCATGATGGAGACAGCGGTGGGCTTGGGCTCCAGAAGCAAGTCGGAGTTGTCTGACTAAAGGAAACGAGGGTGGTGCGAGCTCCGTCCTGTTGGTTGGCGTACATAATGCATACGTTTTATTAAACACTAGAGACCCAGTGCATGAGATTCATGCACCTGTGCCCTCTTGCAGTCCAGGAGTCCTCAGGGGATGTCTGGCTGACGGCTTAGGCCCCTAAGCCCTCAGTCAGACATCCTTAGCGCTGCCGCGGAGGTGGGAGAGGCTACCGCCACTGCAGTTGCTGCTGAGCCCAGCTTCTGCCTGAGCAGCACTCGCCCTGTGGGAGGGCACTGACTATAGGGGCAGCTCCTGCACTGAGCGTCTGCCCCCTGGCGGTCATTGCGCATCATAGCAACCGCTCGCTCCACTGTTCGATCAATTTGCATATTAGCCTTTTATTACATAGTATTGCCTCCTTCCCAAAAGGTTTATTATCTCTAAGTTTTGAACTTAATTTATAACAGAGGAGACCGTGCATTCCTTGTAAACTTCTACAGTATCTGGTAGAAAGCGTCGTGTTATCTAACATCGTCTTCATGCCTCCAAAGCATCAAAGTGCACAGGTTGCCTCCCTATAACATAACAGGACCTCCTTTTTGTCAGAGAGGAACAGGGTTTTAGTTAGTGGCCTTCCCACTATTCCTTTCTTTCTAGTGGCATCAAAGTGCACAGGTTGCCTCCCTATAACGGGAACTCCTTTTTGTCAGAGAGGAACAGGGTTTTATTAGTTAGTGGCCTTCCCACTATTCCTTTCTTTCTAGTTTTGAGGGAACTTCTAGTCAGTTGAAGGACTGCATATTGAATTTTCTTGCTGAAAAATGACTGGCCCACATTGTACCTGAGAAGGGTGGCGCTGCTGAAACAGTTGATGCCTACACACATCTTAGTCATGCAGGTGTCCCTTTGCTCTTCCTACTTCCATGATGGACTTCACTTTGTATTCGTGGCTGTTAATTCACCATTTACTTTGGAATCGTGTGTACACAGCTCACCCTCGGTGTTGCGCATTTTACGCAACTGGCCCGCATTGTACCTGAGAAGTGTGGTGCTGCTGAAACAGTTGATGCCTACACTCATCTTAGTCATGCAGGTGTCCCTTTGCTCTTCTTACTTCCAGAATGGACTTTACTGCTCTGTGTATTCGTGGCTGTTAATTCACCTTTTACTTTGGAATCATGTGTACACAGCTCACCCTCGGTGTTGCGCATTTTACGGGACTTAGAGTACCGTGCGGAGTTGTTTCCCTGAGCCAGGTCTCTGTGCTCTGCCAGTCCCCACCCCGCCCGCCTGCAGTTGGAAGGTCTCTGTGCTCTGCCAGTCCCCACCCCGCCCCGCCTGCAGTTGGAATTGTTGAAGGAAAAGTTAGTCATGGCACTTGTAAAGCACCGCAGGGCGTACTGTGCAGGGGCTACTGCATGTGAGTTTGGCAGGTGGGGGTAAGGGGACTGAGGAAGGAGAAGGGGAGCCTGCAGCCTGGAGCAGGTGGGAGAGGGGCGTGCACAGCCCGGGCGGCCCCTGAAGCTTTTACTTTGACTGGAAGCTGTAACAAGTCCACTAGAATAGGGTTAAACCCACTGCTGTAGCTAAGGAGCACCAGCCGTTGCCTAGGAACTTTGTGCTTTCACTGACCTAGAATCCTAGGTTTCCTGGGTTGGAATAAGTCTATCAAATCACAGGCCACACATTGGACCCTCACCACCCACCCGCCCAGAGTGGGCACAGGAGCCCAGGTTTGGGAGCCGATGGACCTGGGCTCCAGCCCTGACTCTCATTTAACAAGTCACTCAGTCTCTGTGACCCTGTCTCCTGAGGGGCACCCCCACCCTCCGAAACGGGGAGTTGTGTTGACTGAGTGACTGAGTGAGTTCGTGTGTGTCAGGTTCCGGCTTACACTCACATTTACTTTCGTAAACCGGACATTTGAGGGGTCATTCCAGCCCCGGGTCTGGCGACCAGGCATCCAGCCCATGACTCAGGTCTCTGCTCTGGCCGTCAGGGTTATCGGTTGTAACATCCGAGCGCAGGCCTCGCTCCTGGAGGTGCTGCTCGTTGCTTTGGGGGAGCCCAGGCACCCTCATTCTTCAAGCTCCCGTATGATGTCCCTGGTGCACTGCAATGGCCACGCCGGCCAGCTCCGCACCCAAAGTCTTGCAGGAGATGAACACGTTGCTTTGATTGGTCTTAAGCGCTGTGCTTTTCTTGTTGTTAAAAACTCTGAAAATTGTGGAGTTAAGAAAAAAACCTGATTTAAATGGGATATTCTCTGAGTCCCATTCCTATTATTGCTCTCATTATTATTAAAAGACAAAAAAACAAAACTACCTTATGACTTTCAAAATCTAAGCCGACAGGAAGCCGGGTCATGATGGAGACAGTGGTGGGCTTGGGCTCCGGAAGCAGGTCGGAGTTGTCTGCCTAAAGGACACGAGCGTGGTGCAAGCTCCATCCTGTTGGTTGGCGTACATAATGCATACGTTTTATTAAACACTAGAGACCCAGTGCATGAGATTCATGCACCTGTGCCCTCTCACAGTCCAGGAGTCCTCAGGGGATGTCTGGCTGACGGCTTAGGCCCCTAAGCCCTCAGTCAGACATCCTTAGCGCTGCCGCGGAGGTGGGAGAGGCTACCGCCACTGCAGTTGCTGCTGAGCCCAGCTTCTGCCTGAGCAGCACTCGCCCTGTGGGAGGGCACTGACTATAGGGGCAGCTCCTGCACTGAGCGTCTGCCCCCTGGCGGTCATTGCGCATCATAGCAACCGCTCGCTCCACTGTTCGATCAATTTGCATATTAGCCTTTTATTACATAGTATTGCCTCCTTCCCAAAAGGTTTATTATCTCTAAGTTTTGAACTTAATTTATAACAGAGGAGACCGTGCATTCCTTGTAAACTTCTACAGTATCTGGTAGAAAGCGTCGTGTTATCTAACATCGTCTTCATGCCTCCAAAGCATCAAAGTGCACAGGTTGCCTCCCTATAACGGGAACTCCTTTTTGTCAGAGAGGAACAGGGTTTTATTAGTTAGTGGCCTTCCCACTATTCCTTTCTTTCTAGTTTTGAGGGAACTTCTAGTCAGTTGAAGGACTGCATATTGAATTTTCTTGCTGAAAAATGACTGGCCCACATTGTACCTGAGAAGGGTGGCGCTGCTGAAACAGTTGATGCCTACACACATCTTAGTCATGCAGGTGTCCCTTTGCTCTTCCTACTTCCATGATGGACTTCACTTTGTATTCGTGGCTGTTAATTCACCATTTACTTTGGAATCGTGTGTACACAGCTCACCCTCGGTGTTGCGCATTTTACGGGACTTAGAGTACTGTGCGGAGTTGTTTCCCTGAGCCAGGTCTCTGTGCTCTGCCAGTCCCCACCCCGCCCCGCCTGCAGTTGGAATTGTTGAAGGAAAAGTTAGTCATGGCACTTGTAAAGCACCGCAGGGCGTACTATGCAGGGGCTACTGCATGGGAGTTTGGCCGGTGGGGTGTGGGGGGACTGAACTCAACTCCCGACCCAGGAAGGAGAAGGGAAGCCTGCAGCCTGGAGCAGGTGGGAGAGGGGCGTGCACAGCCCCGGAGGAGAGGAAAGGGCATCTGGCTGAACGGACCAGCAGGACTTTTCCTGAAGGCGGCCGGGTGGTCAGGCTGAAGCTGGCTGAGGGGGCAGATTCTGGCTAAACCCGCGTAGGCTGATTCTTGTTAAAATTGAGCAACGCAAAGATGCATCTGGAAGTACGAGTCGCGGCTGGTTGGGGAAGGGGATCCAGAGGAGCCTGGCTGAGTTTGGTAAAAGGAGCCTCTGTGGGGGAGACCTGGTGTGGCCTCCCGGGTGGTTTCTTTCACTTAGTAACACCGTCGAAGGCTTCTCCACGTGTTTCCAGGGCTCGGTAGCTCGTTTCTTTTTATCGCTGAGTATTATTCTGTTAGCTGGATGGACCACCGTTTATCGGTTCATCTACTGAAGGACACCTTGATTGCTTCCAAACATTGGTGATTATGAACACAGCTGCTATAGACATCCATGTGCAGGTTTCAAGAATAATTTTATGTTTATAAAAAAGTCGCAAAGGTAGTGCAAAGCATTTCTGTGTACCTGTCCCCTTCCGCCAGCTCTCCTGGTATTAACATCTTCTGTACCCACGGCACAGCTGGCCACGGCATAGCTGGCCACGGCACAGCTGGCCACGGCACACCTGGCCACAGCACACCTGGCCACGGCACAGCTGGCAGAGCTAAGCAAGTGACATTGGCACACCCCCGGTAACTGGACTTTATCTGAATGTCACCAGGGTTTCCCTCCTTTTCTTTTCCGTTTCAGGATCCGGTGCAGGAACCACGGTGCATTAGAACCACGTTTATTTTCATTTTAGTTTATAGGAAGAGCTCGAGTGTGTGTGTTTTATTAATTATATTCATAAAATTCAGCATATACTAAGGCAGGGGACGTAAGCATCAGGTATAGGAGCTGGTGGTTAATCAGATGAACACATTAGTTATGAAATTGTTGCTTAGAACATTTTGGGGATCTGTTTTTGTCTTTGGCAAAGCATGCAGGAGTCCCAGGGTCCCAAGTCAAGGTCTGGTTTTAAGGCTGCTGGTTGCAGACAGAATCCCGAAGCTATGGAAGGAAGGCCGTGTTAGGGTTGAGTGCTGATGCTGGGGAAGTGTCCGGTTGGTCTCTGACGCGCTGTTCTGCCGCAGGGGGACCACATGAAAGATGACAGAGGAGGTCATCGTGATCGCCAAGTGGGACTACACGGCCCAGCAGGACCAGGAGCTGGACATCAAGAAGAACGAGCGCCTGTGGCTGCTGGACGACTCCAAGACGTGGTGGCGGGTGCGCAACGCCGCCAACAGGACGGGCTACGTGCCGTCCAACTACGTGGAGAGGAAGAACAGCCTGAAGAAGGGCTCCCTGGTCAAGAACCTGAAGGACACGCTGGGTGAGTGCTCGCGGCCCGGGACCCAGGTTAGACGAGGAAGCCCGGTGGGTGCTCTTTGAGGAGAGTGTTCATCATTTGTGTTTAAAAAAAAAAGTTTGTTTTAAATGTTGACATCATTCTAGTTGTCTTTTTTTAATCTCTGAGAAAGAAGAGGCCCGGATGGAGAGGTAGCACGTTTGTCATTTCCGTGAGATTCCCGAGTGTGGAGTCAGGTGTAAACTGCACCCCCTGCTCCTCTCGGGCTCCCACCTGCGGGCGGGCCTGGAGGGCAGTCCCTCCCCCGGAAGTGCCCGCTCTGCGGTCGCTGCACAGATCTCCTCCCTGACGAGCCTGTCCATCCGTGCTGTGCATAGGGGAGGAGCGGAGAGGAGCACCTTGGACACGGGTGACTTTCACACCACAGTCCTGGGCAGTTTAGCTCAGTCGGCAACGGGGCGAGCACCACTGTGATGTCCCAGGCCATCGGGGTCACCCAGGTGGGGACTGCTGGGGCTCAGCTCTGGTGGCGTCGGCCAGCTTTCTCCCCACATCCTTTCTCTTCTCCAGGTCGGAGATGGGAGGGACCACCTTGAACCACCTGAAGTGAAGGGACCAGCCTTGCCTTTGTATTTTGTATGCGTATCAGGCTTGCTTGCAATAGTTATTGCTTCAGATTATGTGAAAAAGTATCTTTGAGGGCCTTTCTGAGAATAAGTGAACTGACCTGCCGTTAGACAAAGTGATCGTTGCCTCCTCCCGTGATCCCAGGTGGCTGTGTCTGAGGCTGCTGGTCATCGCTGGAGCGGGTGCTGTTGAAATAAGTCAGTATTACCACCCGTGCTATGTTTACTTGAGTTTTTCCTTTTTATCTTTAACAAGAGCATATTTTTTTTCATTTAGGGGGGAGGATGACAGGTGGGAAAACTGAGCATTATACACAGAATGCAGTGGGTATTGCAAAAGATTTGTCTTTATTTTATGCAATCTTGAAAAGTCTCATTCTTCAAAACCATATAAAGCCTGCATAAACGGGCAGTGTTGTGGGCTGTGGATTAGGTTATGCCCAGGACTGGAGCGAGAAGCGGAACACGGGCCTGTGTGGGTCACACCAGCTCGCCAGCTGTCTGAGATTCGGAGGCTGATAGAGAAACCCCTTTTTTCATGAGCAATCTGATTCTCTCCCACTAAACTGACAGCACTTTGTCTTTGTTCTCCAAGCAAGGCACTGGAAAGAAACATTGTTGTCCTATGCTTATAACTCTTAATTAAAGAAATGTAGGCTGCATGAATAGGTGAAAACTTTAAAAGTGCCTGAGCTTAATTTTATTTATTTTTTCCAATTTCAGCTTCTCACCTACCAAAGTGCCTTTAAAAAAATTTTTTTTTGGATCTACTAAACATTGTAGACTTGTTTTGTCTTCCTTCTTATCCATTTAAAAAATATATATATTCTCAAGATTCAAGTGCAGAGCTAGGCCAGCGTGGCTCAGTGGTTGAGCATCAACCTATGAACCAGGAGCTCACAGTTTGATTCCCCATCAGGGCACATGCCTGGGTGGTGGGCTTGATCCCCAGTAGGGGGTGTGCAGGAGGCAGCGATCAATGATTATCTCTCATCATTGATGTTTCTATCTATCTCTCCCTCTCTCTTCCTCTCTGAAATTAATAAAATATATTAAATTTTAAAAAGAAAGAAAGAAAAAAGATTCTAGCGCAGAATGAAATGCCCAGAAATGGAACGAAATGCCAGGAAGTAAAATAAGGCAAAGCAAGCCTTCTGAATTATCTAGAAATTCCCTTGAATCCTTGTTATTTTTTCCTTCAGTTTGTAGAAGACAGAGCTTCAAATGGAAACTATTAACCACAGCTTTTGCCCAGTGTTTAGTTTTTCACGAGCCGTGATCAGAGCTGTGACCAGTGCAGCGAGCTTGTGTGCTGCGGAGGAGGCCGGC